TTGTCAAATATCAGGTGGATGAAATTTTGTTCCATTGGTCTGTGGGTCTATTTTTGTGCCCATACCATGTTGTTTTTATGACTATAGCTCTGTAATACAGCTTAAAATCTGATATAGTAATCCCCCCGGCATTGCTCTTAGTGTTCAGGGTTGTTTTGGCTATCCAAGGACTTTTGTACTTCCATATGAATCTTAGGATAGATTTTTCCAATTCTATGAAAAATATCATGGGGATTTTGATTGGCATTGCATTGAATCTATAAATGGCTTTTGGTAGGATGGTTATTTTCACAATATTAATTCTTTCAATCCATGAGCATGGGAGGTCCTTCCATCTTCTGATGTCTTCCTCAATCTCTTTAAAGATTTAAAATTTTCATTGTAGAGCTCTTTAATGTCTTTGTCAGGTTTATTCTGAGATATTTTATTTTATTTTTTGCAGCTGTTGTGAAGGGGAGTGTTTCCATGTGCTCTTCTCTCTTTGCTTTTTATTGGTATCTAGAAAGTCTACCTACAGACTTTTGTAGGTTAATTTTGTAACCTGCCACTTTACTGAACATGTTAATAATTTCTAGGAGTTTTCTGGTGGAATTTTTGGCATCTCTTAGATATAATATCATATCATCTGCAAAAAGGGATAATTTGATCTCTTCTTTTCCAATTATTACTCCTTTAATTTCCTGCTCTTATCTTATTGGTCTTGCAAGAGTTTCAAAGAGAAGTGGGGATAGTGGACAGCCTTGTCTGGTTCCTGATTTCAATGGGAATGTGTCCAATTTTTCTCCATTTAGAATGATGTTGGTTGTGGGTTTGTTATATATGGCTTTAATTATGTTGAGGTATGTTCCCTCCAGTCCATTTCTCTTTAGGATTTTGAACATAAATGCATGTTGAATTTTGACAAAGGCCTTCTCTTCATCTATTGAGATGACCATGTGGTTCTTGTCTTTGAGTCCATTTATATGATTTATGACATTTATTGACTTATGTATATTTAACTATCCCTGCATCTCTGGAATAATGACAACTTGATCATGGTGGATAATCTTTTGATGTTTGTGTATATG